ATATATATATATATATAGATTTTGAGTTTTCACTTAATTGTAACCTCTAATCTAGAAACAATTAGTTCTTACAATGTCCTGTTCGATATCTACTCACATATGATGATCACCAACAAATGAGTGACACTGCTAAGCGTGGTGAAGACGCCGGGCAATCAGAAAGAATAGTGTCTGGGGTCTTAAGGCCTTAGATTAAAAATAAGCTTCTATCGAAGGAAAGTTTTAATAAACATGCAGAAAAAGCACACCAGCTTGTATGTTATGAAGATATTTTTAATAAAATCTATAATGAAAGGAGGAATTGTCCTAGAGTTTAAATTTCTGAGGACTTAGGTTGAAAGGGAAGAGCCTTGGTGAGTGTAGTGGTTATGCATTGGGCTTGATTGCATGGTGGGCAGTTCGAAATCACCGGTAGCTCTGAAGGAGAAAGACTGGGCTTTCTACTCCTGTAAACAGTTACAGTCTCGGAAACTCACAGGTGGGTCACTATGCGTCAGTATTGACTGGATGGAAGTGAGAAGTTTGAATAAGGCTATAGATTATAGTGGAATCCTTAAATCTGTTTATGAGTCTCCGTACAAATTTGGCATCCACTGAATTCCTTCTAACCATTAACCAGCAGCATGACTAGTTTGGCCTCAGGCAGAGTCCGTTATAGAGCGGATTATAGTGAGGAGCCTAGCCTGTCCAGTGGGAAGTGGCATAGCCCTAGGGGACTTGCCTGTGTGTGCCCTTATTATTAATTGGGGTCCTCATGTCACGTGGTCATGTATCACATCCTGACTCCTTTGGTCAGAGGGTCCTGAACCAATCTTGTAAGCTGTTGTGTCTAACAAGGTATGCGTCCCAATCATAGCCCCGTCCCCACTTCTGTAACCCCACTTGTCACTGTGAGGTATCTGTCTGCCGCCCTTCATGCCTTTGTGAGTATCCTTTGCCCTCCCATGTCCTTTATTTTATTTTTTTTAAATCGTTTCATTAGGGGCTCATACAACTCATCACAATCCACACATACTGTACGTCAATTATGTAAAGCACATTTCCTTTTAAAGCCCCTGCCTCTCTGCAAACCCTTGGACACTATTAGAATTATTGCTAATGATCTGCCTCATCAGGATGCTGTATCTGTCTTTTTCTTGCTTTTACCTGCTTAAACTTAATAAATGTTGTTTTTAAATTATAATTCAAATTTTGGGATTTCTCTTCTACCCCCAAACATAATAAAATAAGAAGTAAAGTAGTAGAAGAAAGGAAATGATGAGGAAAATAGTAACAGTAATGAGGATAATAGTAATAATCTAATTACAAAGGGTATGTGAGACTACTTAAAACATGCACATATATGGATACTAGAATGGAAAGTAATCAAACAAAAATGAATAGAACTACTATAAAAGCAATTTGAAAGACTAAAATAGATACACGGAATAAAAATGGAATTTCAAACACAATATCTCTTCCTGACGAGGAGTTAAAAACACAAAGCAGAAAAATATTCAAAATTTCTTTCTGAAAACAATTTAAAACTGTAATCTTTCCATCTATCGATCACAGCACATATGAGCCAGAAAACAAGCCCTACCAACACATACATCTACATGCCTTCAAGTGCAGTTGTGGCATTGCAAAGTATAGCAAGGGTCTCAGGAGCACTGATGGAAGCCACATGTATGTATAGTTTAAAATCTGACAGCCCAGCAATCTTTTAACACTTTCAGACCACAAAAGAACAGAGAAAAGTATATGGTGATTTCCGGGAAAATTGTGCACTTTCAATACAACTTGATTGTGGTTCAGATGGGACTGGATCAGCAAGCGCAACAATGAGCCCATACATCAGGATCAGTAGTTTTATTATCATTTGTAGTATGTACTACATTGTAAGGTTAGAAAATACTGTATGTTATAGGATAAGTATTATTAAGGCCTTTGCAAAACAAGATGTTTTTTATGTCTAAGCAAAAATAATCTAAAATCAGGGACATACATTTAAACTCTGTCATAATAAGTCTGAATTGGGAATATTGGAATATTTTCAAGAATCATTTAAAAATATATATTTCATCTTTAAATTGGAATTGTCTCGATGATAATTTTTTAATCCATAGAAAATGCTTATAAACACAGTGAACTAAAGAGAAAAGGGTATCCCTAGTGCTTAGATGTAGTCTTTAAATACCATTTTACCTTAAAATGATTCAGTTATCCTTCTGTAAATGATTGACTTCAAATCTTGTGCTGGGAATATGCCAACTAAGCTTGGACCTCTTTTAGTTCTAGAAAATAAGAAATCAAAGATAACTAGGATCCTTTAAAACACGGTAACAAAAACATCTGCTTGTAGAGGCTCATGTTTGTTAGAGATGAGTCAATTGCGGCCAATAACTGCTATGAATAGAAAAATATTGAGTATGTTAGGAAGTGTCAGTTTAAAATGAATGATTCTATATACACCCTCTTATTGGTCACCTTTGAAGAATGCTAAATACTTCATTATAAAAACTAGTAAAAAATAGATTTTCTTTTCACAAATTATATCTGCATCACATCCAGCTCCTTCCCATTCAGTCTCAGATTGATGGATCCTTGGCCTCAATAGTTCAGCTCCCCATTCAACTGGAAAGTCCAGAAAAGGATGGTTTGGAACCCTAGGTTACTCACTGGCTGCTGCTCCCGGCTTTTCTGTTCCCTCACATCCTGTATGAGTCCCCATGGCTTAATGGTAGAAGAATTGAGCTTTATTCCATAGTAGGGGGATGTGTCAGCTTGAATGCCAATCTCTAGGGAAGCCTGGGCTTGGGTCACAAAGGAAACACTTATCTCAGGTCTCTGAGGACTGGGAAAGTTGGGGTTAGTGTAGGGATTAGCGTCAGATAGTGTTTGGAGTAACTAAGCAATAAAGCACAAAAGCCCAGAACCGTAGATTGTACAACATTTCCACTCAGTTTAAGTGGCTGTTTTCAGAAACTATTAGCTTCAGCAGGCTCTGCAAGTGAATATTCTTAAAACCCACCTTGGAAAGAGGGGTGTGTGTGTTTATGAGGAATGGGAACACATACATGGTGGTCGAACTCAGATTGAGGGAGTCAGGGAAGGCTTAGAAGACCACACACCTATTTTCAGCTCTCATTCTGGGACAGATATCAGAACTTCTGAGATTATGGCTGTGGCCTGGGGCTGGAACATATTCTACCCACACTCAGTCTGGGTCTGAACTGCTGAATTAAATGGGTTCAAAAGAGAGTGTGGGTGGTGGAAAAAAGTTACAGAGCCACTCACACGTGGGTTTGAATTCTTGCTTTACTTCCCACCACTTCAAAGTTCCTTCTTCCTCCTTTCCCACTTTCCCCACCCTCCACTCCATATATGCTATGAACTCAGCTTCTTTCTAAATTCGTATGGACTTCGGTCCTTCACCTGAGACCACAGTCAGTGGACATGCTCTGCTCACCCAGCCTTAATTGGAACCAGTCTATATGGCTCACTTCCTCCTCCGGATGCAGCAGGTAGTGCAGAGAACAAGCACACAATCTCGAAAATTTATGTCAAAGCAAATACATGGTCTTTAACTTGAGATGAGTCACAAGTGCCACATTTTTTTCTCTCACAGTTTTTAAATCCTCACCATTCTCTCAAGTTCCTTACCCAGACTGCTGCCTCTACTCCCAGCAGCTGATTGAATCTTGCTCCTACATTCAAGCAGACAATGGAGGCTTTCAGCTTCCCGCTCAACCCATCTGCTCTATTGTCTGCTTCCATTCACACATACACATCCTGCCATTGAAAAGCACACATTATCTTACGTGAAACTTTCCCCTTGTGTTCACACTTTTAAACAACAATTTTTGGGGTGACCACCACTAATAGCAACACAATTTTGGACTTTGCAACTTGGCACATTAGTACCTTTAAGCTGCTTAATAGAAAATTCCTGACGTTTTGAGAGTTATACATCTACATGCAGCTATACTCTTCACTCAGTTTTTTTCCAGGGCTAATGTCTTTCAAACAGAATATTGAATTGAGGCACTGAAGATACAGGCCATTTCCATCAACAAAAGAGTGCTTCATTCCTTTTATAGCCACATCACCTTCTCCCATTCCACCCACCTTTTAATCCCTATTAACCACCAATATTTCTTACATCTGAATAATTTTATAATTTGAAGATTATTATATAAATGGAATAATAAAAATGTAATATTTCAATATTATCTTTCTTCACTCAGCTTAGTGATTTTGATATTCTTCCAACTTGTTATGTGAAGGCTTTCTTTTTATTGCCGAGTGATATTACATAGCGTGGATATACTATGGTTTGTGTAAGAATTCCCTTGTTGGACCTATAAGTTGTTTTCAATTTTTGACTATTAAAAAGTAAATCTCCTACAACTATTTATGGATAAGTTTTTATTTGAGCATAACTCTTCGTTTCTCAAGGAAGGTGCTGCAGCCAGAGGTATTATGCAGTGGAACATTCCATTAAGATAGAAGTGCACAGCATAGCAAATGTTCAGCCACATATTAGTTACAGTGTTTGCATTTTTGTTTGTTTTCCTTCTTTTAGAAACTGTCAAAATGTTTTAGATTGACTGTACCATTTTACTTTCCATCATTACATTAAAAATTTTTTTTATTTTGTTTTTAAAAAAAATCATTTTATTAGGGGCTCATACAACTTTTATCACAATCCATACATACATCAATTGTGTTAAGCACATTTGTATATATGTTGCCATCATCATTCTCAAAACACCTGCTTTCTACTTGAGCCCTTGGTATCAGTTCCTCATTTTCCCCTCCTTCCCCACTCCCCGCTCCCTCCTGAACCCTTGATAATTTATGAATTATTTTATCATATCTTACACCATCCGACGTCTCCCTCACCCACTTCTCTGCTGCCTGTCCCCCAGGGAGGAGGTCATATGTAGTCCTTGTCATCTGTTCCCCCTTTCTCCCTCACCTTCCCCCCTCCTGCTATCGCCACTCTCTCCACTGGGTCCTGAGGGGTTCATCTGTCCTGGGTTCCCTGTACTTCCAGTTCCTATCTGTGCCAGTGTACATCCTCTGGTCCAGCCAGATATGAAAGGTAGAATTGGGATCATGATAGTGGTGGGGAGGAAGCATTCAAGAACTAGAGGAAAGTTGTATATTTCACCATTGCTACACTGCACCCTGATTGGCTTGTCTCCTCCCCGCAGTCCTTCTGCAAGGGGATGTCCAATTTCCCACAGATGGGCCCTGGGTCCCCACTCCACACGCCTCCTCATTCACAATGCTATGTTGTTTTTTTTTTGTCTTTGATGCTGATACCTGATCCCTTCGACGCCTTGTGATCTCACAGGCTGGTGTGCTTCTTCCATGTGGGATTTGTTGTTTCTCAGTTAGATGTCCCCTTGTTTATCTTCCAGCCTATAGGACCCCAGATTCTATATAGCTTGACAGCCGGACACAGTCAGCTTTCTTCACCGCATTTGCCTATGCACCCACTTTGTCGTCAGTGTTCATGTCGGGGTAGGCTGGTGTGCTTCTTCTATGTGGGCTTTATTGTTTCTTAGCTAGATAGCCGCCTGTTTATCTTCAAGCCTTTAAGACCCAGACGCTATATCATTTGATAGCTGGGCACCAGCTGGGCACCAGCTTTCTTCACCACTTTTGTTTATGCACCCATTTTGTCTTCAGAGATAGAGTCGGAACCCATCATTACATTTCTTATTAGCAATATATGAGCAATCTGTTTTTTCCACATGCTTACTGGCAACTCGTGTAGTCACCATTTCTTTACTTTGCCTATTCTAATAGTTAGTGAGTGACATTTCATGGCTGTTTTAATTTGTTTCCTAATGTAAATTTCAGGAGGTAGCATATGAGCAAGAACCAATGGTACTGAAGGAAGAAGTTCAAGATGCACTGAAAGCATTAACTGATAACAAGGCTCTAGGAATTGATGGAATACAAATTGGCACTGACAGTACTTACTCATTTATGACAAGGAAATTTAGAAGATGGCTATTTGGCCAACTGACTGGAAGAGAGCCATATTTATACCTACTCCAAAGAAAGTTGGCTTAACAGAATGCTCATATTATAGAAAGATATCTTTTTCAGCAAAAATAAAAGTTTGCTGAAAATCAACAAAAAAAGGTTGCAGCAATACACTGACAAGGAGCTGCGAGAAGCGTAGGCCGGATTCAGAAGAGTATTTGACACAAGGTATAGCAAGGATGTTACTTTAAGGACTAAGATGTGCCAAGCCATGGTATTTTCAATTGCTTCATGCGCATGTGTAAGTTGGGCATTTAATAAAGAAGACAAAGGAAGAATCAGTGCACCTGAATCATGGTGCTGGAGAATAATTTTGAAAGTCCTCCTGGACTTCCAAAGGAACAAACAAATCGGTCCTGGAAGAAGTATATCCAGAACTGCTTTACAATCAAGGATGGTAAAGTACAGGGGAAGTGAAAAAGAGCAAGATGGATCGATACAGTGAATGCAACAATGGGCTCAAACGTAAAAATAATTATGAGGATGGTGTAGAAGGGCAGTGTTTCATTCTGTTGTATACAGTATAGAACAGAGAACACCATGGAACTAACTTGATAGCACTTAACAACAACCACAATGATGATTAGTAATGTTAACTCTTTTATAAAGTTCTGATTTGCTATTTGCATATCTTTTTCTTTGAGCAGTACATTTTATTTTGTTATGATTTATTTACCATTTAAAAATTAAAAACTAAGTGAGGGGTTACATTTCGGATTATCAATGTTGTATTCAACAGTTTATACTACTCATCACCCTCCCCCAATTGTTTATCTTGCAACTGCTCCTTAATTTCTCTTCTCTCTCTTATTGACTACTAGTTTTCATTTTGTCCAAGTGAACACCAATCAACATTGCTTTATCTCCCCTCCCTTATCCCTTTGCAAACTCCAAAGTCTATTTCCTTTGGTATGAAAGTCTTTATCTAATTTTTTCTTTCTATCTTATAACAGAAGTCTCATATAGTATTTGCCCTTTTGGTGATAAGCTAATATCCTTCAACATAATGTTTTCCAGGTCTATCCATGCTATAGATACTTCATGGTTTATTATTTATCTATTTTTATCAATGCATAATTGCCGTGTGTGTGTGTGTGTGTGTGTGTGTGTGTGTGTGTATACCAAAGTCTCTCTGTCCATTCATCTACTGATGGATGTTTAGGTTGTTTCACTCTTCTTGCTATTGTGAACAGTACTGCCATAAACACGTGAGAGGGGGATTAGATTAGCCAAGTGGATTTGGGACACACAGGGTCTGAGTTTTTTAGGCTGACCTCCCGGGTCCCTCCTGGCTGTCTTCTCTGAGGCTTCATAGGCTGTGGCTATCTGCCTCTGCCTGGGGTAAATAGCCTAGAGGCTCTCAGATTGAAGCAAGGTAGTGTCTAATTATGTATGTATGTATGTATGTATGTATCTATCTATCTATCTATCTATCTATCTATCTATCTATCTATCATCTGTCCGAAGTTACACACACTGGCAGTCCTTGCACAAAGCTGGGGAGAAGGGGAAGGGCATGTCCCCTGTGGTTGCTCTGTTCTGGGGCAGGGAGGAGAGATACAAAGCCGGCAAAGCACAAACAGAGGGGAACAGAAAGGGAACACTGGAGTGAGCTCTGTGGCTAGTTTTGGAGGCTCTCCATGGGCCTAGAATTATGACCACCCTTGGACAGCAGTCTGGGGATATTGCTGCACATTGGCAGGTCTCAGATCAGCGCAGGAGTGGGGGTGTGAGCTCTGTCCCACAGGACCTAATGAGGGATGAGGGGAACCCACAGGCAGATGCAGTGAGTGAGGATTTGTTCTGTGGGAGAAAATTGAGAGGGAAGGTCTGATCCACAGACCCTATTTCATTAAGATTCTATTTCTAGCACCTGTCCTGCCCATAGTGGCCTCCTTATCTCTTAATTTTCTGATCTAACAACGAGAGTCTCAGAAAAAAAAATTTTTTTTTTGAGAATGACATAGTGGATAAGGAACTAATCTCTGAAATCTACAGAAAAATGCAACATCTCAGTAAGAAAAATATGAAAGGCCCAATTAAAAAGTGGGTGAAGTGGATTAGTGCAGATGTAGCTAGGTTAAAATTTAACACCTTATCATTAGTTCCGTCTTTGGACCCATTAAAAATTTCTAGATATCATTATTTTCTGCTTTCTTATATATTGAGGTTTCTCTCTGTTTTATTCTGTTATTTGTGTTGGGTTTGGGTATTTTTTGTATGTATTTCTTTATATGAAAAAATGGAGGACAGAGATAGTAACCATTTTAATAGTTTCTTAGGGTTATGGCAGGAGAGATTGTGGAGGAAATGGGGAGCCAATAATAATGAAGAGTAGAATGAAGAAAGTGTTTTAAAATTGATTGTGGTGATGATTGCACAACTCTATTAAATATATTTAAACCTTTTTGCTGTATGATAAGTAAGTTATATGTCAATAAAGCTGTAAAAAATGGATAAAGGACCTGACTAAATAGTTCACCAAACACGATATCTAAATGGTCAACAAACACATGAAGAATCAGACAATTATCCAGGAATCAGAGAGGACACCAAATAGACTGGACACCAAGAAGAATACACCAAGGCATTTAGTAACCAAATTATCCAACTTTGAGGAAAAGGAGAAAATCATATGAGCATGTAGAGAAAAAAATGCAGTCACCTATAAGGGTAACCAGATAAGAATATACTCTGACTTATCAACAGAAACCATGAAGAATAGGAGAGAATGGAACAGCAGTTTACAAAAGTTGAAGGAGCTTAATAGTAACCCAAGAATCCTCTACCCCACCAAACTATCCATCAAAATATACTGATGTAAGGGTTTTCCCAGATTAGGGAAATTTTAGAGAATATGTCAAAAAAAACCCCCAAACAAATGAAAGAACCCCAAACCAGCATTACAAAAATTACTTTCCAATTCACTTTGGTCAGAAGACCAACATCCACAGAGCACAAACATGAGACCACTGCATAGTGTAACACTATCCAGAAGACAGAGCACCAAAAGAAATGCTGAAGACATCTTTCATCCAATAGTGAAAAGAAGATAACAATGAATCCCCCCCACACACACACATAACAAACCACTAAGGAGTGAGGGAGGAAACTGTATCACAAAAGGTATGAAATGAAAGCATATAACAAAGATGGATGTAATAACACTGAATATCAATGGTCTGAAGTCCCTTATCAAAAAACAAAGGTTAGCAGACTGGATTAGGAAAGAAAATCCAGCAATCTACAGTTTGTAAGAGACACATCTCAAGCTCACAGACAAAAACAGGTTGAGGATCAAGGGTTGGGGGAAGGTATATCAAGCCAATGGCAAGCTAACAAAAGCAGGAGTTGCAATTCTAGTCTTTGACAAAATAGATTTTAAGGTGCAGGGCATACCAAGAGAGAAGTATGGGCATTATATAATGTTTCAGGGATCAGTAGACCAAGGGCCAGTGAGCATAATAAACATATACACACTCAACAAGAGACCCATGATATACGTTAATCAAATCCTTCAAAAGGTGAAAAAGAAATCATGAGATCAACAATCATATTAGGAGACTTCTATGCTCTGTGAGAAGGATAGATCAGCAGGAAAGAAACTGTGGCAGTTACATGATCTGTCAATTTGAGGGAGGGGTAGAGTCTGGCCTGTCAATCAATTTGCAGCTTGATGACCTCATCTAGAGGTGTTAAGGAGATAAATAGCTCACTGGAGGTGGGACAGACTCACTCTCTGCAAGACATTGCAGCTAACAAGACACATGGAGCTACCTACAGCCCTGGAGCTGAAGAAGCCATGTGGAGACCCCTGCCAGAGTTGAGAAGTTCCCACTGCCACTGGATCCACAAGACTTTCTACCCACGGGTTATGATCTTCCTGCTTTTGATGTTATTGCATATGTTGCATGAGTCTGAACAGGAACTTATAGACTGGTATTGGATATATAGGATAATGTCAGACTTATGGACTTGATCTGGACTGGGCTGAGATGTTTTATTAATGTACAATTACTCTTTATATAAAGCTCTTTCCTATACAAATATGAGTGTCCAT